ATTTTGAATATCTGAGAAAGAGTTGGACCAATAGAAGCGTAATGACTTCTAGAAATTAATGTATATCATAACTCACTTTGTGACGTAAGTCACATACGTCACTTTTATGGATTGCCAGAGAGTTATCGTGCGTACAAACACACAGACACACACACAGACAAACAGACGCGAAACTTTTTGATCATCAGTGGAGTAATAGGCTTCGCTATCGCTTAGCCAATAACGTACCTTGGCCGGACGACCACTGGTTGAGCGCTCGGACCGTTCTCATTCGGCATTATTCTGACATTGCGTGACAACTGTTTAACTCTACAGGCAAATACCTCACGTCAAAACAAGATGAAATTAATGTTTGGCTGTCAGTCAAATATTACTTATGTTTGAATGTCAGTCATATATTACTTATGTTTGACTGTCGGTCAAATATTACTTCGACACCTAGAGAAAAGTCTGCTGTACTCAACAGAAGTGCGTGCAGCAGCGAGAGGTAACTCGAATTTTCGATTTCCCCCCTTTTAGTGTTGGTACCACTGTATATCTCACAAAAGGATATGGCGCTCATCTTAGCGCTTCAGTTTCCATGTATTTAAGGGGGCTCACCTGTGAAATGTTAGCGTTTGCAAGAATCGTCACTACATAACAACTACACGCCGCATCGATTTTAGATTAGGCGCATGATACAAAATGACCAAGAAATTCCCAGATCGCTATCTCAATTCGTTATCGTGCAAATAAACTAGGTTGATGTACGCCAGGCCACGTCTCGCGTAACAGGCTTCGCGATATCTCACAAAACACTGTTACGCTGCGCCTGGCATACATCTACCTAGGCCTGCAGCGCTGACACCCGAGGCGGTCAAAAGGCAGAGTCGTAAATTGGCCTTCGGCCCCAAAAGTCACTAATTTTGTTCCTCGAGGTTTTACTTTGACGAGTTACCCTACCGAAAAACCGTCAAATATCTGAGAAAACACTTAAAAATATTTTGCGGTCATTTTTGTGTAGAAAACTCCCTCTAGCGCCTCAGCGGCTTGAGCTAGAGCAAAACGGACAAAATTTTCATCCATAGGGCTCTACTATGATGAGTTACCCCTTAAGAAACTGTAATAAAATATTTTTTAAACACGCTTTACGTGGGACCTGTGGATTTTTATTTTTTTGAATCCAATTTTTGAGCTAGAATGCTCTTCTTCGAACTTGACTTGTCTTTTTATGACACAAAGCGACCCTGAAAATCCCAGTTCGCTAGCTGAATTCGTTCTCGGGTCATCGTGCGCACAGACAGACAGACAGACACACACACAGGCAGACGCGAAACTTTTTGATCATCACTGGAGTAATAGGCTTCGCTACCGCTCAGCCAACAAACATACAGACAAACAAACAAAACAGAATGGAGCTTCTCCGGTTAGTGGACTAATGGGCTTCGCTAATCGCTCAGCCAATGAAAATGAAAGACCCTCTAATTGAGGAAGAATTGGGCTTCGATTTGATTTATAATAGAGAAATGTTTATCCTGCACCTGCAGGAATATGGATTTTTTGGCATGAACCAGACGGGTACACTACATGGTGGCGTGCACGATTCCAGATAAACACATGGACCTGCGCCGGTGAAATAAATTGGCATTTACTTTTGAAAGATGCTTTATGGCGTGACGAGAGCGGTATTTAATGATCCACGTCTCAGGTTCGCAAACTGAGGAAAATAGTAAATTTTCAACCTATCTTTTTATGCCGAAACAAAATTCATGATTTTTGTTTTGGTGACTAAAAATCAGGGAAGCATTTCTCTTGAAAAGTGGCGTGTCAATTTCTTCACTTTATCAATCTACAAGTGTGCGTTTGTTTTTTACTTTTAAAATCAAATCTGGCTGAGAAATCATGCGCGCAAGATTATTGACCCAAGTGCCGTCAAATACTTAAAAACTGAATCTGCAGTTGTTTGAGAGGTAAAAAGGTGTGGGGAATTCAACGGCCAGGTACATTTAGGGGTTAGATCAAACGTTCAGACAGTATAAGGGCTGAAAAAGCATGAAATAATGGTAAATCTCACTTAACCCCCCCCCCTCTTAATAAATAATCTCCCGATCCCTTGCGTTTCACAGGTTTGTCCCCTTAAAATAGTGTCTTAAAACATTAAATTCCAAGGTCGTATATGCATGGCGTCACCAGTCCATTCGCTGGCGGAACCTGGAGACTTAAAATTTCGTTTCTTTTTCAATCTTTGGGCCGTTTTAAAATCCGATTCCATTTGACTTGCAGAATGATCCACTCGCAGTGCCGTGGTCAACCAGACAGGGTCTCCTTAAAAGCTGCATCGCCTCCACCCAGTCCGTCGGCCACTTCGCTCAGAATGTAATCAACGATTACAACAACTGCCACACTGCCGTGCTGCGAAGTTCCAGGAGCCGCCAACAGACTCTGCTGCTGACCGGCTACGTGTCCGGCATGATAGAGTGTGGGAGGGCGGCCGCCTCTTGGCAGTTGGGTTCTATGGTAGGAGATGTCATGCTGTGTGTGGCTTTGACCATTACCGCCGGCAAGTAATCCAAGAAATAAAACCTTAAAAGACGTCCCTATCACAGTGTCTTTGATTTCAGGGGGGCTGGGGCAGTGTGTAACAGATTTTTGGCTGAGCGATTAGCGAAGCCCATTACTCCACTGACCGGAAAAGTTTCATTCTGTTTGTTTGTTTGTTTGTCTGTCTGTCTGTCTGTTTGTTTGTTTGTCTGTCCGCACGATAACTCGAGAAAGAATTAAGAGAGCGATCTGGGAATTTCAGGGACGTTTTGTATCATAAAAAGACAGATCGAGTTCGAAGATGAGCATTCTAGCTCAAAAATTGGCTTTTTAAAAAATCAAAAACTACAGGCCGCAAAATGTATTTTTATCAAATATTTTTTTATGCGTTCGTAAGGGGTAAACCGTCAAAGTAGAGCCCTTTGGGCGAAAATTTCGTCCGTTTGGCTCTATCTTGTACCGTTTAGGTGCTAGGGGGCATTTCTTGACAAAAATGAGGAGAAAATGATCAAATGGTCTATTAAATCGTTAACAAAAAGACTTCATTTCGAAAACTTGTATATACACTCCCATTACCCCGTCTCGGGTGTCAGCGCCGCAGGCCTAGCTATATGTGCGCCAGGCGCGTCGCAGCGTAACAGTGTTTCGTGAGATATCGCGAAGCCTGTTACGCGAGACGTGGTCTGGCGTACATATAGCTAGTAGACAGTGGCTATAAAAATCAAGCTATGTAAACATTTTGGTAAATCGGAGGCAGAAGGATAGATTGCACCTTTACCGAGCCTACAATTGCTCCGATGTATTGCTAGGCATTTTCATGAATGACCTAGAGCTTGTTGAACAAAGCTCTGCATTAGTGTGTAACGACAGTGGGGTGTGGGGTACTGTGTGACAAAGGAAGGATTGAGTTCTGGTGACAGCGAGGAAGGGAGAAAACAAGTTTCTCCTGCTTACTATACTAGCTGCTGATAGAAGAACAGTTTTTTCAACAAAATTCATTGTTTTTAATTGATTTTCCGGTAATTGTATACTTGAGTGATTCTTCGGCCTCGAGTCACTCAAGTATACCATTGGAAAGAGATTTTTGAGTAGAATCAGGAACATCTTTTTGGCGCTCGAGTCAGGTTTTCCTTAGAATTAAATGAATATGTCGCCGCTAACCTTCAGATGTACTTTGAAGACGACAGAATAACGTACGTTTATAGTTAGTCCAGACATTGATCGTTACGGCTGGGGTTTTTAAAACATGGCACCTGCATCATAGACTACGACCGACTCGAAACAGCAGCCTTTCCTCCTCTTACGTTGCATACTTAGATTACAGTTTTCACCCCTCGTTCAAAATGCCTTCTGCTTGCCGTGGTGCTTAGCGTAGGTGGAAGTGTTGAAGGCAACAAGTTTGGCGTTTGCGGGGCACAGTTTGCACCGGCAATCCGCATTTTGCTTCTCTCGTGCCGTCATGAAGGCAAAAATGCAGCCCAAGGCCTTACGCATTACTCCCCCAAAGTTTGCTCTTGCTCATCTTCCATTACTATTATTGGCTGAGCGATTAGCGAAGCCCATTACTCCACTGACCGGAAAAGTTTCATTCTGTTTGTCTGTCTGTCTGTCTGTCTGTCCGCACGATAACTCGCGAAGGAATTGAGATAGCGATCTGGGAATTTCAGGGTCGTTTTGTATCATAAAAAGACAGATCGAGTTCGAAGATGAGCATTCTGGCTCAAAAATTGGCTTTTAAAAAAATCAAAAACTACAGGTCGCAAAATGTATATTTATCAAATATTTTTTTATGGGTTCCTAAGGGGTAAACCGTCAAAGTAGAGCCCTGTGGGCAAAAATTTAGTCCGTTTGGCTCTATCTTGAACCGTTTAGGTGCTAGGGGGCATTTCTTGACAAAAATGGGGGGAAAATGATCAAATGGTCGATTAAATCGTTAAAAAGATTTCAATTCGAAAAATTGTATATACACTCCTGTTACCCCGTCTTGGGTGTCAGCGCCGCAGGCCTATCTATATGTGCGCCAGGCGCGTAACAGTGTTTCGTGAGATATCGCGAAGCCTGTTACGCGAGACGTGGTCTGGCGTACATATAGCTAGTTTTAGAGCGCCCTTCTGCTTTGAAAAAGCTATCCAGCGGGCTTATGCAATCGACCTCGTGTCTGTGTGTCTGGCTGTTCTACTAGAAGGAGATGTGCTAGAGACTTGAAATTTTCAGGGTATCTTAAGGTTCACTCCTAGAGAACGAAAAGCCTACGGCAAATCCTGGCAACCACCCCTAAGGGTAAAGGTGTGAATGGGGGTATTAATGGCTCAAACATTCGCCCAAAAAAGTTATGTTTCTAATGTTCTTCTAAAGGGTAACTCGTCAAAGTAGAGTTCTTGGGGAGAAAATTTCGTCCGCTTGACTCTATGTCTAACCGTTTAGGCGCTAGAGGGTCTTTTATTGACGAAAATAATCTAAAAAATTCTAAAGTGAACAATAAGTTGTAGAGCAGGGGCGGACTGGCCCGCCCGTGTAGACCGCGAAAAACGGGTGGCCTCCCCCTTAGGGGTCCCTTGGGGCCCCGGAGAGGGGGCCACGCACTTATTTCACTTTTAAACACGTACTTGTCCGTCACCGGTTGCCCCGTGCGCCGTGCGCAGCGCAGCCAGCCGCAGCGCGGCCAGCGCGCCTAGGCGAGGTCGCATTTACCACCGCTACAACCTCCTTCCTCTCCCCCCTTCCCCTTGCCAGCGTGTCGTTCCTCGCCACATACAGTAATTGTTCCTAAATTCGGACATTGTGCGGTATTTCACTATTGCCGCCTCCGAATCCATAATGAGTTGACAAAATTTAACTTCTATGGGTTTGATGGAAAGGCAAACAAAATAAATGTGTGAGTGATATTGCTTCCTCCAGAAATTCCGAAAATTTGTATTTTTAGCCCCCCAAAACAGGCGTTTTTAAAGGTGTCTTGCAAGAATTTGGGGCTCCGGACAGTGTAAGCCCGGGTTATTCTGACCACAACATATGCGAAACTTGGAACTTTTATCTACAAAATGACACCAAGTTTTTGATTTTTCGTCGCACGGTTTAGTTTTGATAAGCGTTTTTGCAATGCGCCCTAAATTCGGGGATAGGCTTTTACATGCAAATGACTACTGTCCGAATTTAGGGCACGTTAAAAGCGATCTTTAAGCAGTTCTGTCGACTAAACTATACCAGGTAAGAAAATTTTGACGGTAGAGTTAGGTCAGATTTTTTCATGAAGTTTCTTTACCCCCCCCCCTTTTACCTTTGCATGTGATAGAAGAAAGATGCCCGGAGGTGCAATGCCCAATTTGATCAATATAAAAAAATAATAAAGTGTTCAAAGACTCGTTC